AAAGGAGTTTATCTTACCATTTAAAAATAAGCTAAGGTATTCCAATTGTCCCTTTCTCAGTCTATCAAGATTTTTATGTGTTTCCGTTGCTCTGCTGATAAGAAAGGCCAGTTGGGATTTCACGTTATACTCGTCTTTTCGACTCACATTCTAGTTTGTCACATTTTCATAGGGAATTTGTTTAATTTGCGTGCACATTCTGCGTATAACATTTCTTGTGCATTATGTGCCCGACTGGAAGCCACTCGATGCCAATCGAGGAAATTATTGCACGACAAATATCGGATTTTTCACCTGTGAATTATTAACGGTAAATTACTCATCCAGCGGCGCGGCGGGCGCACTTGTATGGGTTAACGAGCGAGCAAGCAAGGCAGCGAATTGACAATAAAATAAACAAAATGCAGCCGCGAAAAATCGACGAAACTTGTTGGAGCTGAAAACGCGGAAACTGTTGCAAGCGAATCGAAACCAGAAAGACTTTTCTGCACACACTGTCCAATCAGAACCAACACTCGGACTCTTCTCTCCGATACACTCACACCAACACTCTGAGCCCTCTCACACGCACGAGTTCTGCTCTTGCACTTGCCTCTTTCCACTGCTTTCTTTGAGTCTTCGGTTTTATTTTACACGACTGCGGCGCTCTTGTTGCGTTTTCCTCACCTTTCGCAGAGTTTATTGACATTTTCAGCGTTCGCTTTGTGCGCTGCTTTCTTCGTGCCCGGCCAGCGAGCGTGCGCACTCTCTTTTTCTCTCGCCAGTCTGTTCGCTCTTTCCCTTTCCCCTTCCCCACTCGCAACACTTGCTTTTTTGTTTACAATGGAACGCTCGCACACACTAGCACACGGGACTCTCACACGCACGCAGAATAACCTTCAATTTTATCTTATTGCGCGCGCCCCAGCCACCCGTTATTTTTTAACTTTACCGGAATCAGTATTTGCTTTGGTTCGCTACTGCAGCTTTATATCTCAATCCCTGCCTTTATGCACTGCTAGTGTCGTTAGAAGTGCACAATCGCCTCGCCGCCTCTTTCACACACCCACACACGCAGCCACGAACGACCTTTGCGGTGCGAGCGAGACGACCCGCCACAAAAACTCCACTGCTGCTCTCTCGTTCTCCCGTTGTGCTGACGGTGAAAAGGTTTTCGAATCCAGTACATACATATATTCATATTCACTTATTCACGGTTTCAACTACACATTGCCACTGTCGGCGGGCGGCCCAAGCACGCTACCACTCTTTTCCACTCACAGAAGCTCGCAGCCCAGCATGAACGGTGTTTTCCGCTCGAATCCGATTCCACAACCGCTCGAGCGATCACACGACGCAACACGACAGTCCCGCTCGCGATGAAATAGCAAAATGTTTGTTTTGTTGACAAGCCAGCCGAGTTGCAGTCTGTTAGCGGCACTCTCGGTCTGTTAACGAGCGTTGCCACCTTTCGGCGAGCTGTTAGCAGACACTGCCACTTTACGAGCGGAGGTCTGACTGCGGCAAGAAGTACGTCAAGGCAGCGACGTTGGGTTAACACGAAAATTGGAACGTGGTCTTCTATATTTAAGTTATGCTTGTGTTTTCTCCCCTAAATAAGCATGAGTAAAGTATATGTGTACAGGGTACCAGATAGTCGAGCACATCGCCTATAGCGTTCGCTCTTGCCTTTAACTTAATTTGTATTTTGTTTTAAATTACCGCCTATTCACCAACAAACTGATTCAGATTACCAGTTCCTGGTTATCCGCAGTCAGCTCAAAAAAGAGCCTTCTTTATAAGTTTGTTTAACCGGGAAGGAATAGTTTGAAATCGTTTCCACTTTAACGATTTTGTAAATGGCTGAATGCCATTTTAAAGCACTCTGTGAAATTTGTTGCAAATTTAAATCACTTTTATCCTAAACGAAACAAGTATAGCAAGATTTGAAGATATTTATTTTATGCTGGTTCAAGCAAAGACAGTAGAATAATTAATCTAATGCCTTTGATTCAAGGGGGATTTTATTAGGATTAATTACAATTTTGTATATATTTTCGATCAGTATTAGTTTCTAACAATTCTCTAGTCTCTCATGTCTCTAGTCTCCCAAAGAACTTCCTTCTATTAAGGAGGGTATATAGTATTTTATATAGCAAGTATATAGGAGGTAGTATAAAGTAAGTTGAAACAGTCAGCAGCTATCAACTGTTTTCTAATGTTCTCATAGAAATAATCGTTTGCTGTCGTTTTTCAACTTCGGCGAGGATCACTTATCATGTTTGGCATGCGAATATTTTACATGGCTTAGAACGATCGAAAAATGTATGGATTAATTGATTAAAAATAAAATAAGAAGATCTACCGGAAGATCTTCGTCTACCGGAAGTCGAGTACTACAGTGATTCCGGACCATTTTTCGTGACTCATTTGTGAAATAGACTTTCACAGCTCAGGCGTCAATACCTAATCCCAATTCTATGACCAAATACAGACCAAATCGACTCGACTGATCAAGAATATACCTGTTAGATACTTTTCAACGAACCTAGTATGCAATCTACGAGTATTGTAATCTACGAGTAAGAAATGAGAATTGAGAAATTAGAATTCATTCGATTAGTCCCTGGTGTGGTGCCCCACAACCGCCCCACAGTAGTCTAGATTGCGTTGAAACGATGTGGGCTGCCTAAACATGTCCATCTAGCTGGCACTGCTCTGAATGGGCAAAGGTAATGGGTATCTGAGAGACAAGCTCTGATCTAAAAGGCATGCTCAACCCATCGGCACAGGCTCGCCTCCAGTGCAAACAGTGAAACACTCGTTCATTGCTATTTTCCAGATACTCGTAGATAATAGTTTCGAAATTAAGCAAATTCAAGTGACATACAATGGGGATGAGCATATCGTTTTCGTACACAGCCGTGTAGCGCCGCAAATAAAGACATTAATAAAAAAAAGCTCTCCTTGAGCTTAGCTTTAGTTTTCGGTAGACGCACCTAATTGGAGCTAAAGATATCGAGCTTTGGTCGGGCACTGCATTTACATTATTTATTGCGCAATATTTAAATTGATAATTTGCGCTTATACATATGCTAATGCAAAGTCTGCGATCCATATGTTATTTTATATTTTCACGCATTTTCAGATGAACAAAGCATTCTCGGCAAACAACGATCCAAATTGGCATATGTTTGCTGTGCATAATATGGATATTATCCGTTTATATTTCTTTGGATGTGGTTAGCTAATTGGCCAATTAAGTGAGACCGCGGGCAGAAAGTATCGACGAAAATACATTTTCGTACAAGCCAAGCCAAGTTTCTCAAATCGGATGGAGGTTGATGTGTGAGTATCTTGAAATTGGAATTATTAAAACGGATTACGCCTGTTTTGTTAACCATGTGCAGCTTCTTCTTTTTTCGTACAAAATATATGGCACTGGTGGTCTAAAGTAGGCTAAGCAAATTCGCGATGTCTCATGAATAGGTTTCGCTTTAAGTGACAGATGCTTTCAGATGCAGCATTTTCGCATTTTTGCATTGGAAATTAAACCATATGCAGATTCTTCGATTATTTAATATATCAATAAACTGAGCGTTGGGTGAGGGTCGTACAAACGAATTAGGTCTTAACGAATCATAAAAACATTACTCAACCATTTGTATACTTTTTAAACATTTCGTCCGTATACGTATTTGTATTTGAAAAAGTTGGGTAAAATGTGTTTATTCTTCTGAGCACAGCTATCAAACAAAATGTATCAAGTTTTCGCAATTTTGGGTGACAATGGTTAAACGCTCTAGAGGCTGTAAAACAAGCCCGATCAAAAGTGTTGTCTCACGATTGAGCAAAACTTGGAAATGCGTAAGCCCTTATAAGAGCCATTCAAGTTCAGCCTGGGTGGTTTACACTAGACCCATATGTGCATATGTGGGGTAAGCCCCATCAATAATCAAAGTAATAAGCTCACATACATATGCTGGCGCATGTGTTTACAAAAGCCGAGCTGGTAATCCTTGAGCGCTCGGTCGAGCATGTAGTTTGGTCATTAGCACCGGCTAATAGCCAAACAAACCAATTTCCGCTAACTGCAGCAGCGAACGCATATCAGCTGACCTCTGACATTAACCGGCGGAGGCCCTTAAACCGCTGCGTGGCCAGCTGGCTCGCATGCAAATGAGTGTTGGCGGGATCCGTGGCCGCTCATCGGCGGAGTCTCGCGGCCAAGCTGCCCTATTGACATTGCCAAACCCGTCCAAATCTCCCGACATCAGCGAGCGGCTGCCGGCGAACAGCCTCGAACACGGTCTTAACCCCGCGCCGGGCCTCAAAGATTGCATCGCATATAATATGCTTGAATGAGGGGCTTTGGGTTTTATTTTTAGTGGTATTCGTATTTTACCCGTATCAAAATATCAAAAATGGAAAATATGGAAAACTCACCTTGAGTTCTGATGGATTTCTGCCCAATTCCGCATTCAAGCAGTAGATGTGGAGATGTTTAATCAGCAAAGTGTACAAAATCGGGTCGAAACTTTTGTCCTAAGAAAGAAAATAATCTGAGGAAATTAACTGATGAAGTCCGTCCGAATTGAAATGTAATGTAGCTTTAATTAAACATGTTTACCCAAATAAATTAATTCGATTAATAACGTCTCTAAATGCGGTATTAAGCGAGGGCAAATTAGGGGGAAATATCTACTTATATTCTTGAATATTGTAATTTGGATTGGATTTATCTCCGACATTCTCCCTCAACAATATTCAAAGCTGGAAAATTAGCATCTGTTATATCCGTAAATTCGAAAGGAAAATATAAATGAAATAAAAAAGGCATCTTCGTTTTCTTTTGATCGCCCAACACCTGCCTCTGGGTTAATGATCACTGCTTCACTCTCTTCATAACTGGCTGCCTTTTCTTTGACTTGAAGAAGCGCCAGGCCCTCACCGAAGACACGAAGACAGGTATCCAGCCACATTTGTGGCCCAGAGCAACTTAAGCCTGGCTTTTGGTATAAAAGTGCGGGCCCATCTGCAGTTGGACATCATTCAGCTTGAGCGTCTTGCGACAAAAGCTTGCCAAAGCAAATCCAACAAACTTTCAAAGACCAGTCAACAAATCAACAACAATGGTGAGTAAACTGTCCACTGGTCCCAGCTCCGATCAAGAAAGCCGCTGGCCTTGCTCAACCGCTCACCTTGGCCAGCCATCTAGGTGTCGCAGATCCCGATCGCTCACTTGACCCCTAAATTTGCGCTTATTTTAGAAACTCTTCGTCTTCGCTCTGTGCGCCATCGCCTCGGCCTCCGCCGATGTTTCCCACCTTAACCTGGGCAGTGGTTACAGCTACAACAAGCCCACGCCGTCCTTCAACATCCCCTCAGCTCCAGCTCCGGCTTATCTGCCACCCGCCCAGGAGGTGATCTCCGCGCCTGCTCCAGCTCCTGTGTACTCTGCTCCTGCTTACTCCGCACCAGCCCCAGCACCAGTCTACTCCGCTCCGGCACCCGCACCAGTCTACTCTGCTCCGGCAGCCGCACCCGTTTCGGAGTACCTGCCTCCTGTTCAGGACATCCCAGCTCCCGCCCCTGTTTACTCTGCTCCTGCGCCAGCTCCGGTCTTCTCTGCTCCTGCTCCAGCTCCGGTCTACTCTGCTCCTGCGCCAGCTCCAGTCTACTCCGCTCCTGCGCCAGCTCCTGAGTACTTGCCTCCCGTACAGGACATTCCGGCTCCCGTTTACTCCGCTCCTGCGCCTGCTCCTGTTTACTCCGCTCCAGCACCAGTCTACTCTGCTCCGGCAGCCGCACCCGTTTCGGAGTACCTGCCTCCTGTTCAGGACATCCCAGCTCCCGCCCCTGTTTACTCTGCTCCTGCTACAGCTCCGGTCTTCTCTGCTCCTGCTCCAGCTCCGGTCTACTCTGCTCCTGCGCCAGCTCCGGAGTACCTGCCTCCCGTCCAGGACATTCCGGCTCCTGCGCCAGCTCCAGTGTACTCTGCTCCTGCGCCCGCTCCAGTTTACTCTGCTCCTGCGCCCGCTCCAGTTTACTCTGCTCCTGCGCCCGCTCCAATTTACTCTGCTCCTGCTCCAGTTTACTCTGCCCCAGCTCCAGCTCCCGTGGAGTCGGGCTACCAGTACAACGTGCCTGCCAAGCGTTTCCGCTTCTAAATGGGCATCAGGTGGACCCCACAGAGCGCCACAGCCATTTGCGTGGTGACAGCTTGTTAAATTAACAAGTGCCGTCGCCCATTGTTGTTGAATATTTGTTGTTACGCAAAGTTCCGTTGAGATTTTAGCTAATAAAAAAATTATAAAACCAAATGTAGGCACAGCCGCTGCAACTTGAAATGATTTGATTGGACGAAGGAGTCCAGAGTGCCGCTGTTTGGCTGCCCCCTTTTATATATTTCAATTTAGCGCCACAAAGGCTCTACAGACGCTATCAGCAAGTTTGTGGAGCGTTGGCCAAGTCATCCCAACAACAGGGCAGGCTATCCAGAGATGACCTAGGTGTAGGCCACAACTGCGTTGGCCATTTTCGCCAAGAGCTTTCGTTAATGCCACTCAACGCATGAATACAGCGAATATGAGAGGAGAAATCAGAAGAAAGTGGCGCAGTTTCAGTGATCATCTTTTAGAAGCGAACGAGATTTTCTAATCATAATATATAAGAAAGATATTCGTTCGACATGTGAAATAAGTGTTTGACTTATGGTATCTGGTATCTGATTTTGAGTTAAATACGTGTTATGAAGACTAAAATAGCACATTTAATCCTATGTATATCATGTTATTATTTTGAAAATCTAATTTTCGCTTGTTGTGATGCAAAATTAAAATGCTTCCCCTAATTAACACATGTATGCGGTCATACGAAACTCATGGCCCAAATGGTTAGTTGCTGTGAATGGGTGAAAGCGGCTGTTTTTGGTATTTGCGTCAAGTTTATAAAACTCCTTTTGAACACAGAAAATGCAACTTTTTCCAGCTGAGGACATTAAATTAACGATAAGCCGAAACAAACCGACAAAAAGCACAGTGGTCACAAGCAAGCTGTCATTCGTCGCAAATTTTAAGCAAGAATGCAACAAAGCTACAACTCCAATATTATATATTTTAACTTTCACACCTATACCGCTCTCTCCGGAACCCCTTACTTTTTCCAAGGAATTTCGCTTGGCGTTTTTGAATTTTTTGGTATCGAATGGAAAGCGTCATTGTAGCCATAGCTAACACTTGCTTGCTTCGTATTAAAATTGATTTAATTATAGGACAAAAGGAAGACAACGAATTTTAAATATATTCCACTAATAATAAATAGTTTTATTGTGAACATTATGTTTTCGTCCATTTTTGATTTTAGTACCATCTTAACGTCATAATGGATGCGCAATTTTATCTTTTTAAGTATGCACTGCATAACTGGTTTACTTACATCATTTTGTAATTAACTCAAACTATATATTTATTGACTATATATATTTATGATCATAAGTTTATCTTATATTCGTATCATAATAATGGTATGTATCATTAATAACTTACGTTTATTGTTAGGGCTCAAATCATATACAGCTAAATTAAAATACTAGGAGTAGTCGATGCTTGCTTTAGCTAATCTGTAACAGCACATAAAGGGAACTGAGTTAAATTTAACAAAGAAATCCGTTGGGAGTGACGTTACAGAGCAAACGAGCATACAGAGTCAAAATAATCTAATCAATTTCTATCAAGCATTAACTGCATTTGAAGTGGATTTAGGTGGATTTAAAAGAATCTTTGGAAATCTTTTAAAAGAATTCGGATCAGGTTGTTGTGTGTATGTTTTATTATAGTTTAAACACAAAGCTTATATTTGTAAAGTATTGCCAAGATTGATTTCTACCCCTAAAATAAAATTGTTTTTTAACTTTACAAGCCGATCGATATATACAAATTTCAATAATGCGCCCGCCGGCGTTTGTTATGTGTCATAATCATCCTGTTGCGAGCTAAAGTAGCTTACCAACCCACTGAACTCTCCCACGACAGCTGCTCCCGTTGCGGATGATGGAGCTCTCGTGTCATGGGCTGATCCTGAGTCTTCCTCGACTATGGGTGCCGGTGAACTGGTGGCTTCTGCCGGACCCGTTACCTCGGCCACTACAGCAATCGGAGACTTCCTGATGGGATACGCCTCCAGAGTGGTTAGCTTTTTGCTGGTTATCACAGAAGCCATTGGTGGCTTGTGGCTGCTGGCTTCGCTGGCTATTGTGGGTGGCGGTGCTGCAGCGGGTGGTGGGCCTGAAGACTGTGGCGGAGTTGGCTGAGGAAGAGCCTTTCCATGCGTCAGAGTGGAAACCGAGTGATTCGTTGGCGTCAGTGTGGGCGGAGCACTTACGATCACCGAACTTGTCGCTGCGTGGGCAGATGGTGTGGCCAGCGGCGGGGGCGGGGGATAGTAGCCGTATGGGGAATATCCACCTGTAATATGAGAGGTTAAAACACAATCCTTTTATTCGGCACTTGTGAATTATATTGTCTTAGAAGTATAATCATAAAACATATACTTATTTCATTTAAAAAAAAACTTTTCCATAAAATCATTTTAAACAAGATAGAATGCTGTAGTCGAGTTCCCCGACTATCAGATACCCGTTACTCAGCTAGTGGAAGTGCAAACGAGAAATTTACAAATTTTCTGAAATATCGGTAAAAAGTGGGAAAAAATAATAAATTGAAAAAAAAATTAAACAAATTTTTGAAAGTTTGTGCGGTTTGTGGGCATGAGAGTTGGGCGTCGCAAAAAGTTTTTTGGCAAAACTGTAGAAATTTACAAAATATATAAAAAAAATGAAAAAATTTCAAATTTTTCAAGTGTGGCTGTGACGGTTTTGTGCGATTTGTGGGCGTTACAGTGGGCGTCGCAACATGGGTCAAAAAACTGCGCTGGGTCTATGTCTCGGGAAGCTACATGCTTAATCTCAACATTCTAGCTTTTGTAGTTCCTGAGATCGAGGCGTTCATAAGGACAGACGGACATGGCCAGATCGACTCGGATATTGATCCCGATCAAGAACATATATACTTTATATGGTCGGACACGTTTCCTTCTGCCTGTTACATACTTTTCCACGAATCTAGTATACCCCTTTACTCTACGAGTAACGGGTATAAAAATGTTCCTAGTAAAATCATATTTAATTTTCAAATAATATAAAAAGTAGTAAATACATTTGGATTAGGCTATTTTGGTTATGTAACCAAATGTTTAGTGGTCTATGAATAATAGACATTTGGCACATGGTGCTGTGCTCTTAAAAATATTAATCGGTTGCAACCTAGGGTCAGAGGTTTTTTACGAGATACCGATTTTTTACGCTGCTTAAATGAACTCTCTCTCGAAAAAAAGAAAATTTTACTGATATTCTATTCTACTCAAAAAATATTTTACTAAGATGCTTACGTGGTCCAGCAACATAGTCCACAGATCCAGGACGCATACCTCCAGTTCCGGGAGCTCCACCGATACGAGGCGAGTAGTTTGGATTGCCGTAAATGGGCGGCGCTCTATAAAATTCACGTGTTTTTAATGGTAACTGTTAGGAAGACAATTAGCTTACCTGTAGGGGTTCAAGTGGGGAGATGCATGTCTCGCTGGTGGCGGCCCGGAACTGAAGACTCCTCCCATTGGGCTCCCAGAGGGTCCACCGTGGTGCTCGGCTCCGTGAAGGTAAGCCGGCCTTGAATTGGGCGTAGTACTAGGAGTGGCAGTTGGTGGGCCAGATCCTCGAAGTGGCGGCGGTGGTCCGTAGGTGGGTCGCAGGGATGCGTGAGAGGGAGGCAAACCAGGTGGCATTTGAGGTCGCAAAAGGTGTCTAGGAGGTCCTGCAGACGAAGAAGGAGAACGGGATCCTGTGACAGCAGAGATGGGCTGCTGGCTAGCCACTTGGCCATAGAATCGGGCCAGTTCGGCACTGCTTGGATATATTCCACCGGGTGGTCCATGACTTCGTCCATGCGCCGGAGGAAGGTGCGACGGCATCCGGGTAATCACAGAGGCTTGGGAAGCAGGAGCGATAGGAGCAGCATCCTCGTGCGGCTTAAAGAGCGGCTGAGCCTTCGATTTATCCGCGGGGACTGATCCCGGTGTAGTTGAGGAAGTAGCCGCCGTAACAGCGGCCGCCGTTTGTTGCTTCTGCAACTGATCCCTAAGTGGTGTAACCTTTTTCCGTCTACCCCTTGGTTTCGGATCAGGCGCTGCGTTTCCCGAGACTGTCTCAGCTGGACGCGCTGTAGCTGAGGCGACCGCCGATTGCATAAGATGGGCAGCTGCCGCCGCAGCCGAAGGCATAGACATGACCAGAGGCAGGTGTTGGGCAGAATTGTGGGCGGCACCGTAATTACCACATCCGAGGGGCTGACCGAGAGGAGCGGATAGGGCATTTTGCAGTAGATGCATGGCCTGTGGTGGGGGGACAGTCTGCGAAAGGTGTCTTTGCAGCATGGGATGCATACCGTGAGGTGCGTGAGGGGGAACCAGAGATGCGGGAGAATGCGACGGGCCGGCGGAGATGGGAAACTGGTGGCGCAGAAGCGGCGGATGCATGGTGGGCATGGGAAGGCGCTTTCGGTGTGGTTCCTGCAAGCCAGAAGTACTGGGAGCGGAGTTTTGAGCCGGACTTTCAGGCGGCACCCTGCTAGTTTGCTTGGACTTGGAGGGCGTAGTGCGCAGGACCTCCTCTGCTCCAGGTAACTCACGTGCAGCCACTGCCGCGCTGAACTGTTCTTCCTCTTCCACCATTCGTGCAATCGCGTCCTCCATGTCCTCGGGCAAGTCGTCGGGCAGCTCAGCGTCGTCTAGCTCCGACTCGTCCACATCATCTAGATCTCCGATGGTCTCTCCTTTCCGTTGCAGGTAGTCGATGTCCAGCACCTTGGCCTGCCGAATGACTGAGAGCGGCACCGTGGAAAGCGAATCACCGCCTGCTGCCTTGCCAGGTGTGCGCTTCTCCGGTGCAGTGACTCCAGGCTTAAGGGGCGTGAGTCGTGGTGTAGCAGCAAGCTTTGCACCCTCTGCATTTTTCTCTGCGAGCATACGCTTTATCTCCTCCTGCCGCTGGATGAATTTTTGACGCTCCTCAGGAGGCGTATCCGGCCGATGAACGCCTGGTTTAATGCCACCGTCAGAGCTGTCGTCGTCTACATAAAGAGATGAAAATCAAATTTAAATTTAAAAACTGGCGAATTTCGGTATAATTTCTTCTATCACATGAAAATGTTTATCCCTGTGATAGCTAGAAACTATTTGATTTATTGCTTACCGTCCTCAATATAGGCGT